ATTTATTTTTGGAATGAAAAGTCCAAATACATTTTTGTGGGGATGAATATTGGTGATTGCTTTGATGAGGCCTGCATTGTGGTGTCTAATTTTTCAGCGTCTAATTACACACCGGAGCCAAATGGGACTCTATCTGTCATATATTTGCTGGAAAATGTGTCATGATTACAGTGTTAATGATATAACCATCTGTTTCAGTCCATAAATCGGATCCATGAACCAGACCGTTGCAGGGTGACAAGAGGAGGACAAGACTTCTATCACATGCACGTATGTTAATACAATCACAATCAGATTATGGACTTTATTATATCAGAATTTACGGAGGACTACGGCAGAGAGCGGTCAGTACAAATTCCCACATAGAAACTGGAAACCCCGTTGTGTCAAAAAAATATATATATTCATCAATATTTACACTACCTGTTAAAAGTCTGGAACACCAGTTTTTTTTTCTCATGTTGTTGAAATAAAGTCTCTTATGTTCTCTTATTTATAATAAACACTAATATTATGAAATATTATTACAATCTAAAATAACTTTGTCTATTTTAATATACATGTTCAAATGTAATTTATTCCTGTGATACAAAGCTGAATTTTCAGCAGCTATTACTCCAGTCTTCAATGTCACATGATCCTTCAGAAAACATTGTAATAGGTGTGTTCGACCACGGCTACAGACGGCAGTCAACGAGAGTAGCCGCTTGCAGTCGGGGGGGAAGAGTTGAAAACGGACACGTCAAGCCGAACACTTTCTTCTCCCATTAGTGACACTCACATGGTGTTTGCATCCATCACAGATGAAGTGAAAAAAATGCTATATTTGTCAAATACACAGACGCAAATACACAGGTGCCATCTTTTCAAGAATTTCAACAATCATCTACTATTTAAATACTAATAAAGTGGGGGTATATATGCTTTTATCAGTGTTTTATGATAAACGTGACTCAATATAACAGTGTGACTACAGTAAAAAAGCTTTTACTGTTCTAAAAACAGATTTGTGGCCATTACTGGAATTGAAAAGGTTAGAATAAACCCTAAACACACATGATTGTTGTCATGCGGTGAATCTGGCCAATCGTGAAACAGCTGTGTCGTCATCAGCGCTCCTGATTACAGGAGAAGACGAAATGAAAATGACATCGAAGCTTTTCTGAAGACGGTCGGTTCTTTTCAAAGACACATTCATATAAAAACAAACAATTTTCGAATGTGCAGTGCTCAGTTTATTCAACGAAGTAATAACTCAAACACTGGACACTGCTATATGTCAAATAGCCAAGAGATAACAAAAATAAAAGTTCACACATATTACACAGCCTGCTGCTCATAACTGCTTAAGAGTGCGCTGGCCACGAGCGATGAAATCGTGGATGCTATTGTCGGACTCACAGACACATTTCATGAGGAAAGTTAACGTGCACGTTATAATCAGCCCAGAAGTTTCGTCTGAACTGCATGTGTTTCTACTTTCACATGCAAATCACTTATGAAAACGATAACTTTCCGGCATCAATTCTAGTAGGGTAAAACGTAATTACGCTTTCGAAACTGTCTGTTTTGCCCTGCCATCATTAGCTGAAGCTGTGTGTGAACAAGAAGCGGCTGCAGAGTTGCTCCGTCTCTCACACAGCCAGAGAGAGATTCTCCGGTGTTCCACAACAACGCTTAGCTGCCCGCAGATGCGCCTGCCTATAAATCGGCCTAATTTGCAGCACAATCGGCCGATGCCGATTAATTTAAAAAATGCCAAAAATCGACCGATTAATCGGCATGCCGATCAATCGGTCGACCTCTAGTCACCTCTAAGCGTCGGTGCCGTCTCAAGTCGGACTAAATTTTTAACCGGCATGCACTGCTTCAAGTCAGAATTTGATCGATCTGTGCAGTGCAATACACTACCATTCAAAGGTTTGAGATAAGTAACTTTTTTTAAGAAATTAATACGTTTATTTAGCAAGGATCCATTAAACTGGTCTAAAGTGACAGTAAAGATATGTTTTTTTTTTTCACCATTGACAATAATGAGAACCATTATTAACAATTGAATACCGATACTAACTAAGCACCAAATTAGCATATTACAATGATTTCTGAGAAATCATGTGATGCTTAAGATTGGAATAATGATTGGAATTGGACATTTCAGCTTTGCCATCACTGGAATACATTTGAAAACAGATTCAAATACAAAACAGTTTTTTAAAATTGAAATAACATTTAATAATAGCAATAATAATAACAACAACATTGTTTATTTTGAAAATAAATAATGTCTTTCAAAAACAATTTTTTTTATAATTATTCCAAACATTTGTCTGCATTGTATATTGAACAATATATTGTATATTGTAGTGTAGTGTACACTACAAGGCAGCAACATGAAAGTCTTTAAAATAAAATAAAAGGCCAGCATAACATGGATTACACAATGAAATAGTGACAGCACTCTTGCCACAGCAAACACAGCTCTAGTGGATTCAGACTTCGCAGGTAACACTGGTAGATTACAGTAAACTGAGCATGCTAGGGCAAGTCAATCCTTCACCAGATACTAGTCTCAGTAACTTCTCACTAAGACAAATGTGACGAAATAGGAACTTGAAACTCAACAGCACAACCCCAAGTGAGGGACTGGACATTAAGCAGCCCAAACCAGAGGGCTTCTGGTGTCAATGATCACTAAATGCATGTAACACCAGACAACAACCAGGTACCGCAGGACTTGTTATGAAAACAACATCATGATAACTACATTCGCTGCAAGTGTTACTGCAAAAAATATGATGGTCATTCTCCGCCATGTGATTCTAAATTCAAACAAGCACACTTTAATAATTTGGCAGTAACTTTTCAAGCACAAAAACTTGGTAGGTTATTTAAAACTTTTGCTTTCCAGTCCATTTTCCCAAACAGTGTTTGCATGTGAGCAGATTCTCTAAAGCCAAGCTGCTTCACTGTGGTGGATTGTGAAGAATAGGTCAGCTCTGAACTCCTCTGGAGAGGCTGCCATTGAAGCAACTGAACTCAACAAATTATCATGTGTCTCATTAAACCACTTAAAGTGAAAATTGGTCTCCTACTATTATGAGAATCGTTCAGCAGAGCTGCAGAAGCAGCGGATAGTCCATCTTCAAAATGGAAATAGCTTTCTAAATACTGTGCACTATTTTTGTGCTATTTATCTTAATAGTCACCATCCATATGGCAACAAGTGGGGGGGTATTTATATATATACATACAGTGGTGTGAAAAAGTGTTGGCCCCCTTCCTGATTTCTTATTTTTTTGCATGTTTGTCACTTTAATGTTTCACATCATCAAACAAATATTAGTAAAAGATAACACAAGTGAACACAACATGCAGTTTTTAAATGAAGGTTTTTATTATTAAGGGAAAACAAAATCCAAAACTACATGGCCCTGTGTGAAAAAGTGTTTGCCCCTAAACCTAATAACTGGTTGCGCCACCCTTAGCAGCAACAACTGCAATCAAGCGTTTGCGATAACGTGCAACGAGTCCGTTACAGCGCTGTAGAGGAAGTATATATATATATATGTCTTAACTGTAGATACTAGGTAGTCCGGTCAAATAATGTGTGAAGAAAAGATTAAATAATCACATTGGAAATGCAAGGTGCATTCTGTCAAACAGTTTTGCACATATTGTGCTCTGCCAAAATGCACAATATACAACAATAAAACCATCTACGGTACTCATTTCATACAGAAAATATGAATAATGTGCACAGTAAAGAGTCTTTGGGTGGATGACAAATACAACCTTATTTACCATGCCTAGAAATACAATACATGAACTGTACAGTATAAATAAAAGGTAACGTAATTTCGTAAAAAAGGACAAAATTGGTTTTAAAGAAAAATTACCAAAACATATAGTCCCTCAACGAATATGAGCTCATTAAAAACCTCAACTATGTTCATGAAAGAGAAAATAGAACTTATCGACCCCATATAACCCGTCACACTGCTGTCAATGCTTGACATGTCAGCTAACCCTTACAAGCTGGAAAAGTATATCTATATCGTAATACCTTGATTAAAACTCTCACAACTAAGGAGTTTAGAATCCCCAGTTATGCAATCAGCATTTTAAAGCAGCAGGTTAGCCCTGAGGATAAAGTCTGGGTTGAGGGAAACACTTTGGTTTAGTAGCCTAGCTCTTAAAGGAGTAGTTCACTTCCAGAATGAAAATGCTGTCATCATTTACTCACCCTCTACTTGTTCCAAACCTGTGTGAGTTTCTTTCTTCTGTTGAACACAAAAGAAGATATTTTGAAAAATGTTAATATCCGAACAGTTGATGGGCACTATTGACTTCCATAGTAGGAAACAAATACTATGGAAGTCAATGGTGCCCATCAACTGTTCGGGTGCTAACATTTTTCAAAATATCTTCTTTTGTGTTCAACAGAAGAAAGAAACTCACACAGGTTTGGAACAAGTAGAGGGTGAGTAAATTATGACAGCATTTTCATTCTGGAGGTGAACTACTCCTTTAACTTGACTGGAGTAAGATGGCTGGACCTAAACAACGTCGGGCCACACTACTCTTCTGGACTGAAACCAACGGCATACAAACTTATTTTATAACCAGATAGATATTGTCTCGTTAATTCCTCGTTGTCCTTCACAGTCCGATACGAAATACAACACTTTCGTTTATTCTGAAGGTTAGGGAGTAATCTGTCATTAGTTAAAGACCTCAAACCAAGACGTATAGCCGCGGAATGATATATGCGCGCTCGCAGACTTCATAATCTGTCATTACAATGTTTCAATGTTACTCTTCACACTCACACAGGCTGCAACTATCGCCACTTTCCGATGAAACCCCAAATAACACTTGCGTTCCACTTCAAACATCAACATTTCGCACCTTTCGCCGAAACATAAACTACAAACACCAACATATAAACAAATAAATACGGCGGAGAGCGTGAGGAACGCTGAAGCGTAGCTAATGCTTACGGAATTGATGCAATTCTCTTTTTTCCTTTCCAGCTTCCAGCCAACTTAATTCAGAATGTAATCCAAGAAGAAACTTTTCCCAAAGCTCTCATGTGGGTTAGGCGCTTGGTACGATATTTCAGGTCGAAACATTCCTCATTTGGGTGAAAGAAGCATAGTTTTCCTCGATTATATGAATTTGAAAGTTGTAGCGTTTACTCCATCATGGTGGCCATGTTTAAGAGAGACCGAAACACTGCCTGTCACTGCAACGGACAAATAGACCCACTTTAACGTTTAAGACAGTGTTAGTTTAAAATTGCGCACAACTCGTATAGAACATTTACAAACCGAATACATGATGTGTGATGTGCTAAAGATAGAAGTTATTTCGCTTTAAAACGGCATGGAGATATTTTTTTAAAGTCTCACCGACCCTGCGGAGCGATACATAGCGACATACTCAAGGTAAAAAGTCTTCTCAGTCATCAGCGGTGGACGGTAAAACGCGGAAGAAGACTCTGGAAATCGAGCTGGATTGAGTTCATGTCGCCTATCGGCGGACAAAGTCAGTATTACTCAACTCACTCTTTCAGCACATATTTTCAGTTATTACATTATATTTCTTAATTGTCCGAGAATTTAGCATTTTAAAACACCCCAGCAAATGACCAAATATTAGTATCTGTTTGTTTGTTTTAGTACAAAGTACACTTTTTATTGTTATAGTTTGCATATAGGATACATTTATTTACACGTGTAACGTTACCAGTGCATTTCTTTCTTTCTTTTAATTTCTATTATATATACTATCACCCCACCACTATTACACTACACTATTCTATATACATACTTAAAATAAATAAAAGCATACGACAACAATAAAGAAGAGGTCACACAAAAAAATACCCACATACTTGAAGAATATTATTATGGCAAAATGAAAAAGAAAGAGAGAGACACACAACATTTACATGAGTTTGATGACATAAACCAAGCAGTAATTATCACAAGCTCACAAATGTCCAATTTCCTGTTTCATTTTTTTTCTTTAAGCAGATGAAGTCTTTTGTTTCTTTACCAGCAATGTAGGCAAATCCAACAAAGCAGCAAATAAATGCACACTATTCCATCTCAGTTATTTACAACTTTTATTGTAACTACAGAAAATAAACCAAAGATAAAAGAATAAAACACATAAACGCAGTGTTTCATTAGTACACTGGTAATTCGGTGTTCTATTTTCCTAATAAAAAAAGGCTCATTAAAGGTCAAGGATTCTAGGGAAGATGTCCAAAGCAGTCCAGGTGCAAGAGGAAATGAGCTTCTTGGCCTGAAAGAAGCACCAGTGTTTGAAAGACAGTGTCTCAGTGATGCTTTCATCGCTCTGCTTCCACACGTTTCCTCTTTCCCTCACTGAATGATCCACGCTGTGTGTGTGAGAGCTTGTGCATGGGACTGGTTACAAAAGGGTGTCCTCAGTGTTTAACAACAAAAATGATTGTTTTCAATAACAAACACTTCAGGGATTTTTAAGGGCTAATTTTTCAATACATATTCTCTAGCCTATAGATGACCCCTTTCTGCCTCTAACATAAAATAAAAATAAATAAATAACAGCAATTAGGACCTTTGCACGCACGCACGCACACACACACACACACACACACATCTATTTGGCATGACAATAAAATTCTCTAATTATGTCCATTTTAGCCACTTTAAGGTTGAATAAAGTTCCCCCTAGTTTCTCCCTGTGTAAAAACAACCCATTTGTGGCCTAATTATTCTTTTTTTGTTAGCTGATGAAGTGCTAAAGCTAAATGCAAATTTATGCGTAGTATTCACCCAGTTCACAGAGATTTAGTCTTTGCAACTTCAGGGATCTTATCTATGCACAATCAGCTTGTAACACTGCAAAGAGAAAGGAAAACTTGAAATCGCATCATATGACCCCTTTAAAGCACCCCACTGGTTAATGAGAGGATGTACATGGCTTCAGTCTGATGAGACACTGGTCTCATTATTGGTGGGAACGTATTATGTGGGTGGTCTTGGGAAGGGAAAAAAAGCAGAGCCTTGGCGTCATGCTTTATACACACGGCCCGTAAAAAGTCACATTTAATTATTATTATTCATCTGAAACATGCTGTGACTGATATTCCAAAAGGTCTCATACAGGGAAAAGTGGGGTAAAACGCCCCCTACTGTTCTTCCCAAAATAACCACTAGATAAAGTCAAGATTTTTGTTTCTTGTATAGACTTTGTAGAACATAGGTTATAAGTGAATCAATGACACTATTGTCAATTTATCTCATATGTCTGCATCACGGATTTGCTTATTTTCCATATTATTGTGAAGTTACTTTGAAAATCTCTATTGCATAAAGTGCTATATAAATAAAAGTGACAAAAATGCATTTTTTTTTTTATTTTAAGGAAAGTAAATACAATAAGGTCTTCATTAAACTACACCATAAACCAACATAGTTTTCTGTATTAATGGTCCATTGCAATTATTTCTTTAGTAAAGAAAACGGAAAAAGTATTGCATTAATCATTTAACACACTGACAGACAATAATTGGAAATTGTACGATTAGTTTTTTGTCCACCAAGTAGCCCTCCTAATTGTGTGACAACCCAAAAGCAAATATGTCCTGTGCTGAGAATTTCAGTACATGCTCACTTGTCACATGCAAACTTAATACCGTCCTCCATGACATGAAACAAACATCTTTTGACACCTTTGGTCATTATGCTGGTACACGCTGTGGAGAAAACCTGCTTGTGGTCCTTTGACACATGACTTTTAGTGAACAGCATCCTGTGAGTTACTATTCTCTGCCATGCTTTACACAGGTAGGGCTTGTCAAAGTCTGTAGTGCTATCAGCTGACCTCCACCTGCGAGATGATGATGATGATGATGAGCCGGGCACTTCTGATACCCCTGGATCAGATGCATAGTTCCTCATTATGGCATGAGTAGTGGCAAAAATCACAATGCCATAGTTTCTGCGAAGTCTGTCCAGCAACTCGGCACACTTTCTCAGGTTAGCCTCCTGACAAACAGTGCTCTCGCCGCCATTGAATCTGTCCACCCAGTAGAAGGAAGAAATGCTGTCGATGATCAGAAGGCAGAGGGAGGGCTGGCTGGAAAAGGTGTTTTCGAGGTACTGTAGGGTTAGGAGGAGCTGTACTGAGCTGTTGCAGTGCACTACAGACAGCCTGCACAGACATGAACGCACCCTCTCCTCGGATTCGTTTTCAGAGCCATCACCCTCCTTAGAGCCTTCAGCCAAACGCCCCTCCAGAACGCTCACTAAGCGCAGCATGTCAAAGTGGTAGTCAGTGTCAACGAAGACCACCGCCACCTCCAGACCTCCACTCTGGACTGGCATGATGCAGCGGGTGATGAGGTGGTACAAGGTTTCTGTCTTTCCTGTGCCCTCCAAGCCATGAAACTCCACGACGTCACCTGGATGGATGCAGAACTGAATTAAGACTTATGCCGAGTTCACACTGCATGATTTTCAAACTCGTCGGATCGCCGTTGTTTTCACACTGCGTGACTATCTGGGGTAGCATTCAGTTGCTGCTGTGTTCACATTGCACGATGGATCGGTGACAGGGGGTTTCACACTGCGTGACTTCACAATAGGAAGAATCACCGACAGCTCTGTCTGGTCCGCAAACTACGTTTCACAACAAAACACGCACGAGAAGTGATAAGGAAATAACCCAAGAACCCGCGCGTGTCAGACCGGAGTTCTCGAGCAAGACTGAATTATTAAAAAAATATATATATATAGCCCGCAAATTGTCTGTGAGCTGATTTCCAGCTACAAGGAGAAAAAGAAAAACAGATTATGCAGGAGGGAGATGCAGGGAACAGGGATTGGGTGTTCTGCAATCTGGTCTATAACTCCTCCCCGAACTTTCCTCTGCCCTGTATCTTGGTCTCTCATTGGCTGTAGGTTATCGCCGATGTCAGAAATCATTGCACACAGCGTGATTGTGATTCGCCGACAGCTCCAGATATTTAGCATGCCAAATATTTTGCGGGCGTCGGCGACGTGTCGGCGATTCCCTCAGATCGCGTCTTTGATAATTCACACTGCGTGATTGTCACTCGCGTGAACGAGCACCGATTTGCCTCCGATTTCGGGCATTTGTCGGAGGTTTCGCAAAACCTGTCGGCGAGTGAAAAATCGGGCTAAAATCGTGCAGTGTGAACTTGGCATTAAGGTCTTTGCACACAAAATTCCAATAGTCCAAAATTCTCGCACATTCAAAAATAAATACGACCTCACACTGTGTCAATCACGTTTACACACTGACACTGCCTCCGAAACTTTCGTCTGTCATAAAAAAAAAAAATCGGATCAGATTTGATTTTCTGTGTTTTCACAGAAGCTTTTTTTTAAATAGGAAAGGATGACGAATCTGAGAAAAAAAAACTCATACGAAAATTTCGGACTCGGTGTGCAGTGACATTTAGACTTGAATAGAGTGCTACATGGATGACATATTTTTGTTGGGAAAAACCTGGACATGAATTAGCATTTTAACACTTCCAGTTCTATCCCCTTAAGTCTATGGGTTTTTTGGTTAAATGCCTGTAATAAGGACTGTAGTTACACAAGCTTAAGATATTTTCATGTTTTATTCTATAACATAAAATACATCAGCAATACACCCTTTTGAAAAAATTTTTTTTTTAAAGCTTGTTTTGTCATAAAAAAGTGATTGCTAACATGTGGCTAAAATGGAAATATAAAGAGGTTGTCTGGGGATTAAACATCATCATTCATTCAGAATTAATACATGTTGTGTTCACTTGTGAAGATGATGAACAAAATGTGTAAGGATCATAACTTTTTTTTTGTTCATCTAAGAGCTAATAATACAAAAGCCAATAGATCAATCCTATTGGGTTTTTGGTGAGGGAACCAGGGTGATGCGAACTGCCGGGTTAGTCTACAAATATACAGTATGTCATCACTGAGGCGCTCTATTCAAGTGCTAATCTGAGTTAACATAGCAAATGGGATGAGCAATTGTGATTTATATTTGAATTTACAGCTTAAGTGTGTTCTTTTTTACGTCAGTAGTGGCACCAAATGGTACTGCAAAAATGTGTGTTTTCAAAAAGGTTTTTTTTAGATACAGACCCCTTGTCCAAATACCCACACTTGCGGTCTTGGCCACTTGAGAGCGCGTGCGCGCGACAGGAAGTAAGTGTGCAAGTCTGTCCCATGTCTTCAAAATGACAAAGTGCAGTGCCCTTAACGCACACTAAATCCACACTATCTCGAATACCACTCCGGAGTGCTATTCAAGGCTAAGTGTATCCCATCATGCATCATGTTCTGGAAATAAATCATGAGACTTTTTGCCGAGATCTCGCGAGAGGTCATGGAAACCTTTCCAATGCAAGTTAAATATTAATATAATAATTAGACATTACAAATAATTTGGTAGAAAAACAAGTGTTTTTACTTTTACTGGTGCAAAGATGAGTAGTGGTGATATTTATTTTGTACAACATTTGCA